TCCTGCGCTTTGCGATGGGTCTCAATTTCTAGCGCTTTGCTGCACGCTTCAACGCTGTACTTGTATGCTCGACTTTCACAGTCGGCAGTACTCGTAGCAGCAAAGTGGCGGAACAAAGCGTATTTAATCCTATCAAAGTCATGCGCTTCCTCGGCGGATAAGCACCCCAAAACGCTTGCGACTTTGCACGGAAGCAACGTGGCAAGCTTTTCCCACCATAAGTCTCGCCCAACACCAACATTGTCGCAGACCTCTTCAAAATTAACGAGAAAAGACACAATGTTCTCGTCCATTCCGAAGAGTTCAAGTCGGTATTGTGCTCGTTGCCACTTAATCGCTTCAATTTGACGATCAAGCTCCTTCATTCTGAGAGCATGCTCTCTCCTTTTGCGACTCTCTTCGGCCTTCCATTGTTCGTGCCTTTGAGCTTCTTCGGCCTTCCATTGTTCGTGCCTTTGAGCTTCTTCGGCCTTCTGCTTTTGCTCACAAATAAGCTCCCAAAACTCGTCAGCTTCCTCGGCCGTCACATTCTCTGCCCGCATCACCTCGAGAATCGCTTCCCTTGTTTTAGTGGACCCGGCGGAAATCCCCATGGCTCCACAAATTTCAAGGAGGTCCTGCACCGGGTACTGCTCCATCGCGATCTCGTCCCTCGTGATGCTCTACTACTGATATTCACTGTACTTTAAAACTAATCTCGTGGTTTAAAGTATGTGAATATTAAATTATAACCAACAAAACAAGTCAAAACACTCTCCTAACATCTGCCTGTGCTAGAGAGGTCTGGCGAAATGAACAGTAAATGTTGGGCTCTCACCCAACCAAAGTAGCCGACGATGGTCCAACTCGTGGCTGCCGTCGAACAGTGTCAGGCCTTCAGGGATCCGGTCCAACTTGTCAATGTTGAGATCCGGGGTTGCTTGTCCCAGCTTGCCGAACGATGAGAACAGGGTAGCGTATCGCAGCGTAGCCAAACGCTATCACGGCGGTCGTCCTCGTGCTCGGAGATCCGATCCAACTTTTCAGCCGTTGAGATCGGGGTAGCGGGTCCCAGAGCAGCAAAACGTTGAGGACAGGGGTAGCGTATACCCGCGTATCCAAACGCTGATATCAGGTTGGTCGTGCTCGAGCTTCCAGGAGTCTGATCCGGCGTGCCAAATGTAGGATATCGTATCCCGTAGCTGCCAACCACTGTTATGAATTTTGCTCTGTCGCGATGGTAGCGGTGGCGAAGAGCGGCGAGCCGTCGAGCGGACTTCGCTGAAGCCTTAGCCCGAAGGCGAAACAGGGAGGCAATCCGTTTTGCAAACAGCAACAAAAGTAGCGTTTACTGCAGCAGGTTGTCGTTTGTACAGAGCCGGCCAGCACGACAACGTCGGCTGGGGCAAAATCTCCTAACATGGGGCCGGCTCGGCCTTAAATAGCGTCTTTGGTCCATTCTCTCAGACCAGTTCTCGGGCTCGGAGGGGGGAGACGTAGCCATACCCGGAACTGCAAAGTGGTTCGGCGGAGGAAGCGACGTTATCCCCGGAACTGCACGGTTCTTCTGCACGGAAGGCGGCGCTGGGAGGGGGGAGACAGTTCGTCGAAACAGGGCTCGATCTTGTGAGACGTGCTCCTGAACGAGGAACATGTCTGTGGCACAACAGCGTCCAGAAAATCGGTTGTCGACTGTTGTGGTTATGTAAAATGTAAAAATCGTAGGTTAGTGAGGGCAAAAAGCGCACTCAACCTGAACAGGACAAGAACGAAATTAATCACTAAGAAGCAGGCCAACCTATAGGAAATCAGAATAAAAACAGAGGAATATAGAAGTTCACTTGAGATTAAATGCAATCTATAAAAACAAGAAACTGATGACATTGAGAATACCAGCAAAACTATGATTAGGCTGATTTCCTAAGCAGCAATCGAAATGGGAGAGGTACCAAGGCTTCCTCTCTTGGTGCATTGTAAGCAAGCTCTCTCAGACCTCTAAAGACCTAATAAAAAGATGACACCAGGTGAAAGTAACCATGGTAAAAAAAATATAATGAGCTGAACTTCCAAAGCTGATCAAGAAGAAACAGCGACAGTGGAACTATGTCTGATATAGAGGCAGCAGTAAAAGGATGCAGTAGCATTAAAGTGGTTAGTAGAAAAGACCAAAATGCATGCATTAAAGCATAAACAGTGCAGTGTTATTAGCATCTTGAAGGACTTAGTGAAGGTGGCAGATGTCTGCTTGGAACAGTGCAGTTCACTTATAAACCGTCTGAGCTGTTGTGAAATTGAAGTCGAGTAGAACACTGAAGTTTAATGTGTAACTACCGAAGAAATTAGAAGGGCTCTACAAGGAATTTCTGATAAAAAACTGGCCAGAGAAAATGGCATAACAGCTGATGTGATCAAAGCTTTTACATTTAAAGGAGCTTTGCAACAGTTTTTCAGCATTGGTTGGAGAATGCTGCCAATCGGTAATAGAGGCTCCTGAAAACATGAGAGCCAAACATTATAGCGCAGCACGTAGCTTGCAATTTACAATTAAACCTAAAGCCAGCTAGAAATTGCTTGTTCTCTCGACAAATGATGCCATCAAGCAAAACAACCGCGCCGTAAACCCAATGTCTACAGCCATTGGCTGACTTGAAAATCATGAGCTGCAGAGATAAATGGCTTTCATGGGATGCCATAATGTGGCTGCGTGCTTGCTTGCAATCACAGTGAGAGTAAGCTGCACTTTTGAAAAAAAAAAAAAAAAAAGTTGATGTATTAAGAAAATAGTGTAAACAATATTTACCAATAAACAATTGCAAAGACATTTGTAGCTGATGTCAAAATCTGACATCACATGAGCTGATGCAAGAGCTTCAAGGTGACTTCACCATCTGTATTTTATTTTTTCACATTTTCTCACCTATCAAGCTTCTTCTCACGGTAAGAGTGGTGCTTTCGTTATTGTAAAATTTCAAGTTACTTGTATCAGAAAAATCTTTTTTCTTTTTAGTGTCCCTCTAAAACTTCAATTGTGCTAGCGGGTTTCATTTTGCCGCAGTGTTACCATTAAAGTGCATCTTGTGCCAACTGCTTGAAACATCATATTTTGCCTGCTTAAATGGCTGTGGAGGGTTTCAGGCCTGAAATATTGGTAGTTTGGTGCCAGATGCACACAGCGTTCTCACATTGCTGTAGTACCTATTCCCCTTTTTTCCTTTGATCTGCTTTTCCCCATTATGACCAGGCTAACCAAAAGGCAGGCATTGTGATCTCTGTATTTACAGTGTGGAATATTGTTTGTAATTTTGAAGCTCACCACTTTTGATGAAAATCTTGTGGTTATTTGTGGGCAAGGGATTTTTTTTGTCGAGCCACTATGCTTTTCGTGTGGTGCAAATGCAGCTGTATACAATTTCAGGCACCACGTGCAATAAAGGGTGCCTTCATGCTTGATAATAATGATAATTTCTGAGGTTTTATGCGCTAAAATCACGAGGCGTCTTCATGTAAACGAAGATGAGGATGTTCAGTACTTTTATATCTTGGAAAAGAAAAGTGTTCCATGTCAATCATGTCATGCTAGATTCTTCGCCATACCGATTGCAATGCACTGTCTAAATGCATGAGCATGTGTCAGACACGAAGTGGTGGTACTGATGTGCACGAAAGCGTTCGTCGCAAGTCTTCATTGTGACACCGAAAAAAATGGGGTGCCGAACCAGTGGGCATAGAAATTGAGCCATATGGATGGACATCAACATACCGGGAGTCACAAGCATGTGACTTTGCTTACATGTCCCTTATAGGACACCTTTTTAACAGCCAATATTGCTGTTAATCACCAGAAAAGTCCAGAAAAGTCGCTGTTCGCCTGCAAAACTTCAGCTGCTTTCCACCCATGCACTTGTGACAAACTATGCTGGTGAGTGGGCACAGCGGAGCCATCATGTGTCTACTAAACGCACTATGTAGGTCGGAAGCGCTGCTGCCGTGTGAGCTGCAGCTCGCACTGTACGACAGTTGTGATAATGCTTGTAGTGGCTCAAATAAATCCTAAGTGTCATGTAAAATTAGTGTTCTGAAGTAATAAACAGTGTAAATTGATGGGAAATAAATGGTATGTAGTTAAATTAGTTCTCGCCACTCGCTACCCAGTTTGAGAGCCGCCTGTCAGCGGCAGATCCAATGGGTGATAATGGTGGAGGAGAAGGTGGAGGAGATGATCTGTAGGGGCTGCCACACCCCTTTCTTTTTTTTCTTTAAAAAAAAAAGATGGTAATAACATTGTGACACGTGTCACTCGCATGAACTGTGACATTCCCTTCTTTTCTCTAATGCTTCACCATAATGCACTTGTGTATTGCTGTCAAACCTGCATGTGCCATGTGACATTGTTTTGTATACAGAGCCTAATGGGTGACTGCTCTTTCACTATTTGTCTTATCTTCTTGTTTACATTTTAGCAGCACTGTACATTAATAAATAAGGCAATGCTCTGAAAATTTGCGATACAAGTGATGTCAAATACTATTCTTTCTTTAGGCTCCAAACCTGCTCCTAAACACGTTTCTTTCTGCTTCAAATCTGCTCTGAACAACTTTTTTTCTGCTGCTAAAATTGCTCGAAATTCTTGCATTATTGTTGTTGGCTGTATTAACCCCAGAACAAGCTCTACTTTTTGGGTTGTGCGCACAATCTTATCAGAATAGTCTAAAATAGTCAGGAATGTTCTGAGACCTTTCGGCATAACCTGTGCCATCCAGTGGCTGAATGTGTAATGAACTGATTGCACGAAATAAAATAAGAATCGAACAAAATCGACATAGAAAAAATGAGGACTGTTAGTTCGCGCTTGTGTTGTCTCGTGTCATTCTTTCTACGTCGATTTTGTTTTCTTTTATAGTGCGTAATAAGCTTACACTATGGTTGTTTTAGTTTCTGTTTTGGACTGTGCATGATAGGTTCTTGTTTTGGAGCTAGCAGACCTGTGAGAGTTCTAATGAGGTGTGCATATTTCGGAACAGGATGTGAAAGGCACAGCCGGCGGGTGCCACCTGGAGCATGGCTCCTGGCGGCTGAGCCATGCTGCTAGAAAGCCTAAGTGTCGTGTCTCCCTGGTGCCATGCCAGCCAGATCAGCATTCGACGATGCATGCTCGGGGCACTGCTCCTTGGCTTCAGCTCTCTTCTCTTATCTGTCTACTTCATCAACCACAACTCGCTCCGTGTTTTTCTGCGGTCGCACCCGCCACCACGCCCCACCTTCCAGTGTCGCTCGCAGCTCGATGGCAGTGGGCCTCACGAACAGAGTGCTGCCAATGTACATGCATCCAGTGCACAGCTTCGCCTTGATCCTCGCGTTCTGGTGTTTGTTGAAACTCAATTCTCAAAGCTGGGTAAGCAGATCTGTGAAATTCTTGAGGGAAGTCGCTTTCGCTTCAAGGTGGAGACAACGGGCAAGACGCTGCCGGTGCTTACAAATCTGGACAAGGGCAAGTTTGCTGTGATCGTATTTGAGAACTTTGAAAAGTACCTTGCCATGCACAAGTGGAATAGAGAGCTCATTGACAAATACTGCCGGGAGTACAGTGTTGGCATCATTGGCTTCATTCGACCGCGTGAGGACACCTATACAGGTGCTCAACTTTCCGGTAAGTGAAAGCACAATATATAATCTGAATGCAACTATAATGAAACTGTAATTTTGGTTTCTTTTATGAAAATTGATATGTCTACATAGAGATAGGCATGGCCCAGAGCTGATGTATCTTTTAGATATATTTTTTTATTGCAATGTTCATATTTTATTTTACTGGAAGCCTAATAATTGTGGTTATCCCCCAGTTTATGTGCATATAAACCTGAAAGCATTAGTGAGAACATCTTGTAGCTAAGATGTCAAGCTGACAAAAAGAGTCTAAGACTCTTTTTGTCAGCTTTCTTCAAATACTAGCACATTATATTCTTACTAGAGAGTTTTTGCTAGTAACGGAAATACGATCTGCAAATACAATAAGGTGGTACAGTAGCACTCCTCCTTTCCTGTGACAGTGTGTCCTCGGACGGCAGGTGTCTCCTTAAACTGCAAAAACTGACAGGCAACAATGTGGCGTAACAACCCTACTATAAATTTTTAAAAGCCTTTGTGTGTTTGGGGCTCTATCATCAAGAGGTTGACAACCAGGAAAGGAGGAGAGGTATCATCATATGGTAGTGCATTTGCTTACCATATTTTCGTAACTTGTTGAAATTTTCTACTAACTATTCTGGCTATACAGGTATCAAAATAGATGCACTGGGAGCCTAAAATACAAATATTGACATACATATGTCTTTGGCACAATGGGATATATTTCGGAAATACTTTTGCAAAAAAAGGTTAAAAAAATCTCGCTGAGTAATACAGGTATAGGAATACAATTAGAAGAATACAAATACTAGAATACTTTTTTGATTTCAGAAATGTCGATGCTCCGCAATGGCATTCATTTGGCACAGGATAATATTGTGGTTAATGACGCATTGAAACTCGCAAGTCAGTCATATTGCTCAAATCACTAGTGAACACAAGTGAATTAAGAAAAAGTATACCTTTATTGTAGACACAAGATTTGTAATGCTGAGATGGTTGTTACGTTAACTAGTACTTAAAGGGCCCCTAAACCACCTCTGATGTTTTTTCAAACACTTCAAGTGAACACGTGCATCGTGTGGAGAATGCCGTCACGATCAACGATGCCAGACGTGACAGTGATACGATGCGCCAGCACGTCATAAATTCAAAGAAACAATTCCTCCTCATTTCCGGGCCTTTCCGGCCTCCATGTAATGCGCAGCACAGCACATTCTGACGCACAGCGCATTCATGCTGCAATTGGTTGAGCAACCAGTTAGTCTGCAAGCAGCTGTCTGCGCTCCTTGCTGTTCGTCGTGTTTCCCGCGCGCGCGCCACCTTCCTGCGGCACACACGTTCTTTAGGCATGCACAGACAGCACGTGCACCTGGATGCCACGAGAGAGTGGAAAGGGGAGAGAGGTGATTCTTTAAAAAGAGATGGAAAAGTAAGAAAATGGGGTGTGGAGTGCACGATAACTTTGTCATGTGAGGACACCTCAACCGATACACTTGTGGGGAATGGAGAGTGAAGGTACAGCGAGAGGGAAAAAGGGCAAGTACGGTTAAAGACGGTTAAAGAGGAGAGGGAAAAAATATGAAATTAAAAAAGGGGGGGGGGGGGGTAAGTCAAAGGGGCAAAAAAAAAGTGTGATGGGCAGAGAAACACCAGGAGGGGCGCTCAGCGAGAGGGCAAAGTGGCTTTGAAAGAGGATAGCAGTGTATGGTAGCAAAGGAAAGAGCTGTAAAGCAGCGATCGCTGTGTTTTCATAATCGAATGCATCTAACTCCTCTATTACGGCACCGTTTTGAAAAATTCTCACGGCTGTGTGTTTGTTGTACACTCGTGTACAACTTTCCCACCACCACTGAATTTGAACCTCTGAGTGGTTTAAGGCTCTTTAGGCAAGAGCAGCTTCTCATGTAGGCTTTTATTTAGACAATGTTGGTTAGGCCTCAACACAATTCTCTTGACATGGCTTGCCGGCCCCCCAAAAATTTGGGGTGGAGCACCTGCCTCGAGAGGCCACGACTTTCATTGACAGAACATGAGAGTACTCCCTCCGCGATTACGCCACTACGGCATTGGGTGCTTTACCACACGAGCCATTCTTGGTGTGTAGGGAAGCCTTCTTTCCCACTGTGAGGGTGACTGGCGGTGTGCCTTTGCTTAGTTTTGCAGGAAAGTCTTGCTTTCATAATAAAATTGCTTCTCTCTTCCCCCTTAGAAATATGGCAGCTCATTTCCGGCAAAAAAAGTACAGATATTTCTGTGCCCTGCACAGTATCACAATATAGTCGGTACTTCTTAAAAGTATTTCGCTCTTGACATACAAATACATTTTTCAAATGTATCTTGATACTCTTGTCCTGCGTTACCAGCCTTCTTAGTCCACAACTGTAGCATAGTAATTATGACACAAATGGAAATAAATTAAAGCACATGAAAAATTATCTGGCCGGTGGTGTCTTGCAACTATAGCTATTACTACATCAGTTGGTCTCAGTGCTCCTTCCTGGATATGTGAATAGGAAAGATACTAATTTTGCACTTGAGAACAGAGGCAATGCAGCTTGCTGTCATTAACTTGCCATTTACTAACAGCCACATGTGTGAATTAAGAGTTGTGTAGTTTCAGCAGTGTATGCATTATTGTAATCATAAGGCTATGTTTATTGTGGACAGATTTAGGTGCTGGCAGTAGTCAGTAGTGGTGCTTTATAGTGTGGGAGTCCCTCTCTCTACCATTATGGCCAGCGAGTGTTTTCTGACATGTACGGGGCGTGGGGGGGTCAAAAGTCTCAGGTCACACTCCCATAGGGATACATGGGATAGTGGCCTGGGAACTTTTGATCCAACCTGTACATTGCCAAAAAAAATTGCTTGAGACAATGTTCTCACTGCAAATTTTAGAAAACAAGAGTTTCAGCTTGATTCTTTTTAATAATGCACCTGTTTCAGTGAAATTGTTGACTATAGAGTGGCAAAATAATTTTTCATTGTAAAATTGCTTAGTGCTTTACATGAGTGTTCTTTTCATGGCCATTTTTAGGTTGTCATCGAACTCTCTTGTACCCCATATTTGCTGAATAGTTCTTTCTTGGTTCTTTTTCTAACTTGCTGTTCATGCCAGTATGTTGCCAAACCCTATCTTTTTGTGTTACTTTTTTTATCCATTTGTTATCTCAAAAAGTATGGTCAAGGGAAATGTTACCTGGCCTTCATACCCAGGCAATATGTAAGTGGGCTGTCTGTCTAATAAAAGTGTTGTTCACTGCGTCAGCGACCCGAGTGTGATTTAGTACTTCGATGGTATGACTGGAATGTGAACCACTCTGGTTTTTTAGTGCAAGGACAGTCCCTATTATGTCTGTTGTTACTAGAGTAGCTAGCCAACTTAAATGCTGGCTATTTAAATGCTACCGAGAAGTTTAACACCTTGTAGAAAACTGTACACGCTAACACCTTTGCAGGAGAAACTGATGTGACAGACAGTTGCGTATCAGAGGCGCCGGTGTGCCTGCATTGAAATAGGGATTGATAAAGAATGCATACGTGGTACCCTGCTTGTGAGAGACACCTCATATAAAAGACGGGAATTGCTCACCAGTGCATGTCTCTCATGAAGGGGTTCCAACTGTATATGGCTAGGTTGTCCATCCTGTCTACACTAAATCTTCTTGTACATATGTGCAATAGAAATTGGGCTAGCCCCACTACTATCCTCTTGCTGGTCTACTAAAAAAAAGTCAATCACGACTAGTAGACACCATCAAAATCCATGATGTCATGGCATTTTGCGTAAGAATTCGAAGGTGGCGTCGCTACCCGCATATTTTTTTCATGCGCCTTCTCGCTTACCATGTCGCCCCATAGTGTTTTCGGTATTGGGAAATTGTAATGTATTAATATGTGGGTAATAGGCTTTCTCTTTAGTGTCCCTGCAATATTCTTATTTGCATAGCTCTATCCTCTCCACAAACTGGCTCTTATTCAAGTGAGTAAATGGGATGCTGGTATTGCAGCCTTCACTGTACTGCTTTTATGCTTTTTAATTGCCTGCTTAACATTGCATGCAAACTTACCTATTAAAAAGCCTGCTTTACATCACATCGTTGAGGCATGTCCAAATTGATATCAACCTCTTCACTTTTGGACAGGTCTTCCTCTGTACATGCACACAAACATGGCCCTGAAAGACTACCAGCTGAACCCTCTGTCATCCATATTGAGAATTGCTCGGGCTGGAGAAACATTTTCTGGCAACTTACCTGGTGAAGATTGGACAGTGTTTCAGCCGAACCATTCTACTTTTGTTCCCTTGGCAAAAGCTAGGTCACAGCATGACGATATTGCTGATGGCAATGGGCCACACACTACAGTTGTACAGGTAATTTTTTTTTATTACAAATATATTTATGTTTGGATAATTGCTGCTGTAGCAGTGTAAGGGAAGTGTGTTTATACTTTTAAGACTGATGAATCTGCAGGCAAAAGCCTACTAATCGCATTGTACTCTTGCCTAGTCTCTCCTGTTTTGTTGCAGCCTCAAAAAATATTAAGCCACAGAAGCTGTCACAATGGAAAGAAATGATTTGGGGATATTTCTGGATAGGCTTGAAAATTTTTTCTTTATTGTACATTTAAAAATCGCTTCAGTTGGAAGATTAGATTTTTCACCCCCATTTCAGTGATCCAAATTTTTTTTTTACTAAATGTGGTCACTAATGTTTTCTGTAAATGCTTAGCTTTTCACCTAATATATTTGTTCATATATATATGTTGGTGCATATTTTTCACACACCCTAGCAAGCGCTACGAAAGAACAGAGGGCAGGCTTCAGCAGTTCCTTTTGCTCCGAACTCATTTACAGCAACTGCAGCATTTTCTATCTGCATCATTTGTAAATATTTGTTAAATTTTTCCAGTAAAAATGGCTCATATTCACTATGCAGGATTGGCCACTTATAGATCAATATCCTCTACATATGCAGTGCAAACGTGGCATAGTATGGCTGCTTAGAATCGTGCGGCACTGTGTTTGCAAGTAAATTTGCCTTGTTATGCCTCTGGCAATTTTGGTAGAAGTGACATTATACATAGTTCAGACATTAATTTTCCTCAAACGTGTCCCCATTGTAATAATCGTAGAGGTTTTACGTCCCACAATCACAACGGGATTATCGGAGACGCCGTAGTCGAGGCTCCAAAAATTTTGACCACCTGGGTTGCTTTGCACGTGGGTCATTCCACGCCAAACGTACCAGTCATTTTGGTGACCATCTCAGTTGTATCCGAAAGAAATCATGCTGGCTTACTGCATTAGATGCAGTGAATTGCTAGAATATTTGAGAGAAAAAAAAGTTTTCCTCATGCGAATGCCTTTTCAACTTCTCAGAATGTTGTCTGGGTGGTGTGTGTGTGAATAAATTAATTTTAAAAATACCGCTATAAATTTCTGTATCAAACTTGGTCTATATATTAAGTAAAGGCGCTTGTCTAAGGTGTTTGAAGTTGAGTAATATTAGCCCAATATTTCGGCCCCATACGCCTCCGAGAGTTTAGCCAAAATGCATTGGCATTTTTTTTTTTGCAATACGGCACATTGTATGAATATCTGAGCAATGAATACTTACTTCATAGAAGGTATATTTTGTGGAAAAAATATTTTTAGACCCCTCAAGGAGCTAAACTTTACTACAAAAAAAAAATAAAGAAATTTCACAAGATCGTTTTTGTCCATATTGAGACTCAATTGGCACCATGTGGTGGTATGTCACGTGATGCATCACGCTTGAAGAATGAAGAACAATTTTCCATGAAATTCGTTAAGCCATGCAGCCCCGAATTCGGTGTGCTTCCTTGAACAGCTGTACAATTAAAAATCACCTTTATATCTAACTTGAAATGAAGTAACCAGTTTGTTTTACATGGCAAGTTTTATCATTACAATTCTGTTTTAAAAAAGAAAATAATTTTCGAAGTTTCCTATTGATAGCTATCTTTCCATTTGGTCATACGACAGCTTCCACCTTGAAGTTCCTTGTTGCCGTCAATGGGAAACTTGAAAAATTATTTTCTTCCTTAGAACAGAAATTGTAATGATAAAGCTTACCATATAAAAATAACTGTTTATTTGGTTTCGATTTCGGCATAAAGGTGATTTTCGATTGGACCACCGCATGAGGCCAATTGCATCTCAATATGATAAAAAATGATGATTTTGTGGAATTTGTTATTTTTTTTAGTAAAGTTTAGCTGCTTGAAGCGAGTGTGCAAAGGCCAGTGTACAACATTGAAACAACATCCAGTAATGCATTCTTACGGTTCATATATTTAGCCAAGAGCAACATGATAAATTATGTAACCAAATGCAATCTTCATTATGATGACAAGATCAAAATCCATGCGATGCATATATATATTGTAGTGAAGTTTACTTAAACCCTATAGTAATTTTAAAGTTACTACACTGGTAGCAGGACCAGCTAGGTGATTGAAAACAGTGGTGGGTGCTATTTACTGTGAGTGAAAGAAAATGTGCAATGCATGCACCTACTATGGGGGTACATACAGTATGCGCACACATGCATTTCAAAAATTGATAGCTACCGTGCTTACACGAGAATAGATCGGGCATGAATATAGGTCGACTACTACTTTTAGTGTTCTACGAGAGGAAAAAAAAATATATATATATACGAATAAGTCTATCAATATTTTTTTCTATAGTTTAGAAACAGACAAATAGAAACATACCACACCTTTATTTACATAACTTAGCACCCTAATCGCTGCCGGGGCCGTCATCTATATCGTCATCGGATTCTTCGATATCGTCATCGAATTCTTCGCAAGCATCCACCACTTCCCAAATGACGTCGTCTTTGCTGCCACCGCTGCTGATTGCTGGGCCGCGAAAGGCAAGACGCCGACATTTGCACACAAACAGACGGTCCCGCTGCTTTCGCCAACCCTTAATCAATGTCTCATTTACACAGAACTCGCGCTGCTCGGCACAATTGCTCGAGTCTTCAGTAATAAGTACCACGTGGCACTTGAAGTCACCTGTGTAGCTCTGCCGACGTGACATCGTCGCAGCCGCGCTTAACCATATGGCGGTAGTAGTTAGAAGAAAAAAACTCATTTGTGCAGCCCAGTAGGGAGCACGGCGCAGCGCCTAAAGTAAATGCAAACCGTCACCTCATCACGCCGATCGTACAATGAACAAAGCGCAAGGCGGCGAGCCCTCACAGTAGTGTCAGTGCGGCTGCGCGCCAAGAAGGCACCACCGGAAGCACGGCTAGTGGGCTTGTGTGTTTCATCGCAAACACGGCGGAGCGGCTGCATTTCGCGGAGGTGGTACGCGACTGTTACAAGAATAACTTTTTCCTCCATTACTTGGGTAGTCAGAAAGGAGGAGGGGGGGTCTTTATTTTAGATTTTATGGTATATAACATGCGTATGCAGCAGGAACCGCATGAAGAATAACGGGCGCGGCAGTTGAACGCCATAACCTCGGCGCTTTCGGCTGGTTTGATTGTGCATATAGGTCGATAGCTGGTTAATAACAACATTTTCGGGAAAAAAAGATTGACTTATATTGAAATAAATACGGTATATAACAGTTATCAAGTTTAATCTTATGGGTGTTATCGAAGCGTTTTGAATTATCCAAGAATATTACATCGGGCAGAAAGTGATTAGCTGACACTCCCAAACAAGAAAATGTTCTTAACCATGATAATGAGACGTAACAGATGAAGATGCCAAGGAAAGTATAGGGGATGTTATTAAAAGTAGTTGTAATGTAAATGTGAAGAAAGAAAAGTGGACAAAAATACAACTTACCCCAAGCGGGGACTTAACCTGCGACCTTCGGATAACTCGTCAACTGAACTATGGTCACAGCCATCCACTCATCCACTTCATTGAGTATTTAGCAATACCTCGTTAACTCGAAGTCGCCAAAACCAAGGAAAATTTTGACATCAGCAAATTTTCATGTTGAGCAAAGTTGTGCTAATTGTGGGGAAAAATGAGCACTTTTCAGAAAAATCACTGCTACTTAACGGCTCTTCAGTGGCAGTTTCTAATATTTCTTTTTGTGCAGGTTTAAGAGAAAAAAAAAATTACAAGAGACTTTGATCGGCTGGGTTTCGCCACACTGCAATTTTATGTAGCGCAGAAAAACGGCTTAATACTAGTCTTGCTTTGCGGTTGTACTAAGGCCTAGGAAGGCGTCCTCCAGCTGCTTGACGCATCGCATCAGTCCATTTTACGTGCCGCTGCACTCGACCCAATTTCGAAGCAAGTGCAGGAAATTTCTCACTTAGAAGATGTCGGCACCTGTCGAGGTCGTTCGTCATCGCTGTCGTCTCCGCTGTCCCCTACGTTAGTGGCTGTTTGAATGATTTCAGCGTCCGCCATTTTTGGTCACCGCCAAATCCTGCTCACACAGCGCGTACTCCAGAAAAGTCACGTCATTTTCGGTGGCACCGTTACCTGTAAGCTTGATGACCTCTTGACAGTTTCTCACAGTCTGTGAAGTCATCCGTCTCTGCCATCTCTGCTTCTGGCAAACTGGTGGCATGTGAAAACCGTTCCTGATAGCCGTCGTGCAAACTTGCTGCCAAGCACTGCCGAGAAGGTGTACTACTCCCGGCAGGTCAATTTCGTTGCCTTTGCCGTTTTCATAATACAACAAAATTCTGCGGAGAAGGCTCTTTCAGTAGATTTTTTGGGCCACTTCGATGACACCTTAGTTCATCGGCTGCAGCACAGATGTCATATTTGCTGGCAGAAATTCAACTGTCACTGCCTCCAAATTCTCTATTTTGCCATGGCCTGGGCAGTTGTCAGCAATGAACAGGACTTTTCTGTTATTCTTGGCCATCGTGTTATTTATAGTGCGATTGTACTCCTCGAAAAGAGTAGCAGTCATCCACGCTGCTCTATTCGCACAATAGATAATTCCATTCGGCAGTCGTGCATTTCTAAAGCATCTAGGCTTAAGAGCTTTGCTAATTATAAGTAACGGCAGCTCCTCTTCACCTGTGACTTTTGCTCCGAAAAGGACGGTCGCCCTGTCCTTCTGTAGTTTCTCTCCCGAGCATGTTTCGCCCTTTGGTATGAAGGTGTGGCTTGGCAACATTTTATAAAAAAGCGCTGCCTCATCAAGGTTGAAAATGTCACTGTCGGCGTAACTTTCCTTGAACTCGGCGAGCTGGGTCCTACGCCAATGGTCTGCAGTGGCTGTCTCGGCAGTGCCGCTCTTGCTGTGCGCTGACTTGGACACCGCACTGTTCCTTTTTTTTTCTTTTTTTTCTTTTTTTTTTGAGTGGTCAAACCAGTAGCTGCTGCAACTGAAGTCCGTGTGCCCCATGTGCTAGGATAGAGCGTCTGCCTTTATCATTATTGCTGTGGTGACGGGAAGGTTGGCCGCTCTGGCATTTTGCAGCCATATCATCAACGCTGCTTCAACGTCTGCGAATTTTGACCCTCGAACCTGCTTCTACTGGCTGGAGAAGCTCTGCTGAAATCCATCCAGCACCTTCTGCTTGTTTTTCAGCACCATTGAAAGTATAGACAAAGAGATGCCAAATTCCTGTGCGAGGCTCAATTTCGTTTGGCCTGCTTTCTCAACTCTCTTAATTAGGGCAACCTTTTTTTCTAGCGTTGGCGACTTGCACTGCTTTGATGCCATGCTTGCCGCGCTCAGACTGTTGCCCCTTTTCACAGTCTGCAAAAGATCCGCACCGCTTGGTTTGAGCAGACGAATGGAAATCCCACCTCAAGGAAAATCTTGAGCACTGCACCCAGTTAGCACAAAATCCGTACCGCGTGGTGTGTGCAGATGAATGGAAATCGCACCTCAGGGAAAATCATGTGCCCTGCACAAAGCAAACGTGACAAACTATGCCAAGTGTGAACAGAGGATTTCCCTGCTCAGTGGATGTGTCACGTGACGTGCAAGGGTTGGCCAACAAAGTTGATGTGTCGCTGGGCTGAGACTTCATGCACTTTGCGATTGGGGAAAGCATCGACGTAGTGGCAAGCGCGGCTAAATAAGAAAAAAAAAATCGAAGGTCTTCAGGCATGGCAGCATCGCGCGAATCTTGTGAAATGGTCTGGCCGAGGACTTTTCGTTCCACTCCCAGTCAAGATTTCAAGTTATCCGCAATCCGACCTAAAAATACTCCGAGATAAATGCAAAAATATACACGGGACGTATAGAAAAGTGTTCGTCGTGGCGGAAAATATTGACTTCGCCGATTTTTCGAGATATGCGAGTTCAAGTTAACAAGGTATTACTGTACTGAGATTTGGGTTCATGTAAAAAAAAAACACAGGTTGTCAGAACCAATATGGTATTGGCCACTGCAGTGGTTCTTTGTTCATGGGTATACGTAATAGGCCTGTTTCCATATTCAATTCTCAAATAAACATGGTTAGGTATTTATCATACCATATGCTGTATATTTGTAAGTCACAACAAAAAGCAGATAGCAAGAAATATGTAGTATTTTTTAACATGCTTCATGCCTGATTTTAGGCATTTATACTGGACGATGTACTAGAGGTTCATACTAACCATGGTCTCTATGATGTCATTGTGTTGTCAGTGTATTGTAAATAAAGTGAATATTGGTTTTGGTATCCATCTCGTACCCCTTTCATTTCCTGTATACTAGTATAGAAAAACAGTGTTCTCTTCTGCCAGAAAATGTACTTCTTAGCTGTAACATCTCTCATTGGTCATGTTTATATTTGTAAAATTTGAGGTCAAAGAAAAAAAAATAAGCAATAAGCACCTAATCACCTTAACAGTTGCTATAAAAACTTGGGAAAGCCTTGACATGTAGTATTCTGTTAAGTGCTTGATTTTTTTGTCCTTGCTTTTCAGGATATAGGAAAATTCGATGGCATACAGAGGGTTATTTTTGGAAATGGCTTTGGCTTCTGGTTACACAAATTGCTATTCTTGGATTCAATTTCCTTCCTTTCTCATGGCAAGTTGAGTTTGCCTTTGCAACGTTATCTCCTCATAGACATTGATGACATCTTTGTGGCTGAGCGTGGCAGCCGCATGATGACTCACGATGTGCAGGTGAATTCTTACATCCTGTTTTTGGCATTTCCTACTGGCAAATAATTTAGCGAATTCAAAGTGCACTAGGTTGCCATTATTAGTTTATGATATGATGTGATGTTACAGTTGAGTCTTGGCAGTATTAGTATTTGCTGTCAGATATGCTGGTAGGCAAATCCCTGAGCTGCTGTTATACCAGGTCGTACATTGACAGGATGCCATACTAGCTGGAGGAGGTGTGGATTGAGACCTTCTACTTCATTTTATGAACCTATTACCATTTGAACAGTTGATGTATGAGTTACCTCTTTTTTGAGGAACAAGGCTGGTACATTATTTACCTAAATATGAAGAAATAAAGGCAGCCTCCTCATTGTATCAGTATTGCAATCTAATGGTTTATTACTTCATTCTTAGTATTTTTCCAAATTCAAGGTTGGGATCTCTAGGTAGTTTTCTTTGATAATGAAATTCATGCAACTTTCTTTCACCTGTACAGCTTTCTACATGTTTGAATTTTTTTCAGGCACTACTTGATGCACAGCTACAGTTCCGAAAACTGATTCATGGCTTCCGCTTCAATCTGGGCTTTTCTGGCAAATTTTACCATCGTGGTTCACACGAAGAAAATAAAGGAGATGACATGCTGCTCTGTAAGTTTCAAGATCAAAATGTTTACCCTGAGAGATGTGTTGGTTCATTATAAGCAAAACTTATTGATAATGTTGATTGTTTTGTTCTTACCCAGCTCATGCCCATGAATTTTGGTGGTTTTGTCACATGTGGAGCCATAGTCAGCCTCATCTTTATGATAATGTGACGCTACTGGAGACTGAAATGAGGCTAAATCGAGAATTCGCTAAGGTAAGATGCTTCTTCATTGCAAATTTTATATATAGAAAATGTGATTGCATGTGTATAGATTACAATTTTTGCAGGGAAGGGCACATTTTTAGGATGATAATTTATAACTGTACTGTGGGCTGCAATATGAAGTAATGGCAAATAAACTGCAGCTCCCCTATGTTGTTGACAGAACCACCGTATCCAGACAGACTCTGGATATTCAGTTGCACCTCACCATTCTGGTGTGTATCCTGTTCATGAGCCCTTGTATGATGCCTGGAAAAAGGTTTGGAACATACGTGTAACCAGCACTGAAGAGTACCCACACCTTAGGCCAGCTAGACTGCGTCGGGGATTCGTCCACCGTAATATAATGGTGAGTTGACCAGCACTGGCTTCTGTCTAGCTTACGCTTGGATACAACTTAAGAAGGCAGAAAATGCTCCATCAAGGTAACCGAAGCATCGCTGTCACTTTCCTTCATAAGTAAATAAATTGTGTCCGCGCATGTGCTGGACGGCATAGTCTCTGGGCATTCGGCTCTTCTCAATCTAGGGTGTGCACCCATTGGGGCGCTTGTGGGCATCAGCCTTTGAGGAGGAACTGCTGCTGCCTTTTTAAGTTGTAGCCAACTGTATTTATGAAGTACTAGCATGCTTCTAGTTCATAGCAGCTATGTGCCATATTGAAATGAGAACAGAGGCTGATTATGTGTCTTCTATTACTTTGCAACTTTTCTTTGCTTACATTGAAGTTGGAATAGGACTGAACATAAACTTTTTGTATATTGATATATTTTGTTGTATACTTAACAATAAAAGTTTACAGGGCATGAGCTCAAATCAGAATGTGGACTTGTGTTCTGTCAATACATAAGACCTGTTTGTACTTGTGTGGATTCAACAAACCATTGCAGACTAAAACTTATCAATTAGGGGCTGTGTTTCCAAGCTAAGTGATATTCATTTTCTTCACAAATGTCATGTTCTGTAAACTATGTTCTGTGAACCTCAATGCATGGTATACACTCTCATCACAATGAAATTCTTTTAAAGATAAAACATTTAATGGCTGGAATCTGTGATTGCATTTTGAACTAGATTATTCGAAGTGTCACAGTGCCAGGCTTGGCATAGTACAATGTGGGAAGTGGGAAATCTGCGTGATTGCATTTAGGACTAGATTATTCAAAATGTCACAGTGCGAGGCTTGGCATAGTACAATGTGTCAAGTGGGAAATCGGCATGGTACTTCTCAGCCCTCTTTGCTGCTATGAAGAAAAATGCTTTTTTTTTTCTGCAGTGGTACTTGCAGTGCACTTATAAGGGCCCTGAAACACTTTTTCAAGTAACCATGGAATGAACTCTCTGGAAGAGATTACTGCCTTAGGAATTAAACGGCGCAAAAATTTTTTAAATCCATCCAGTGCGAGTGGAGTTAGAAAGATTCGTCGCATGCTGCGATTGCATTCTCTCTTCTCTCGTCACGATGAAAGTGCTGGAAGCTAAGCAACGAGGGATGGCAGGCGCAAAAAAAAACGTCATGCATGCCTCATGACCTTGAGCACTTTTTTCTTTTTTTTTCTTCGGATGCACGGCTTTTTCAGTGTGATCGCGTGCGCACGAGTCGTGGCCTCTCACGGTGATATCTGTAATGACCGAGCCCGCCATGTTCAAATCAGCCAATGGCTGATAGATGGGCTTACTACGAGTGATTTTCGGGCTTATTCTGTGATTTGTCTAGAGAAGAGCAAGCAATTTTTAGCTGACGATCATTTATTGTGAATTCCAGGCCGCGAGCTGCGCTACAATATTTGGCTCACGTGTTGTCGGGAGCCTCTATTACCGATCGGCAGCATTTTCTGACCATGCTCAAAATGTGTTGCAGGGCCCCTTGCTGAAGCTACACACCAAGGCATGCCATGCTGTGCCAAGAGTTTTATTTTAAATGTGAAGCATTTCTTAACGAACAAAAGGCACTCTCAGCATTTCTATTTGTCTGTCTGTCTAGTCTCGTCTTGTCTTGTGAGATTCCTGGACAAAAATAGGGATGGGAGGGTAAGTAGGTTTGACGAATGTGATAACACAAATTACGCCAAAATCTCTTCGCGTACGTCATCAAATGCCTTCCTCCAGACAAGTGTGGCACATACCCGTGTACTATGGGCCACGGTATGCGGGTACGTACCACAGGTGTTTGACAGTGTATATCTACCAAGGGACGGCAAGAACAGACATTGTTAATTCAATTGAGAGTGTTAAGCAAAACCAACATTGGCAGCGTTGACCGGATCAATGCAAAAAAAATAAAAATTAAGATCCTAGCAGAAATCACTCAAGTATTCTGCGTGGCAGTCAGGTATAGTCGAGCCCGCTTATAATGAACCTGAGCATGATGCGGCATCAATTCGCTGTATACCGAAGTTCGTAGTAAGTGAAATACAGCATTAAAGAAAAGTTCAGAGTGAAAACACAATATTTTTTTTTTTTTCAAAAGTCCGTGATGCACTTGTTTTGAAGAGTAGAAGCAATAAGGATGGTCTCGAGCTTATTTGAAGCGGCAGCGTGCGCTTTGCGGAGGCTTGTGTCATATACAAGCGGCCTGAGTCTATTAATGTAGCCAATTCCTTACAAGCACGCTTGTGGGAACAGGTTCCAAAGTTTCGCCATCCTCACAATTCGATTCCTTCAATTCGCTCTTGCCATGCCAGAAAGCCATGCCATGTCTTGAAACTGCCTTGGACAAAGACCCTATGCAGACATAATGTTGGTACACATTCAGCTAGGGTTGTAGTGCTAGCTATCTAATTTTATAATGAAGCAGTAAGCATTACATGCAGGCATCCGCCGCGGTGGTCTTTGTTGCTGACCCGATGTCGCAGCATTGCATGGAGGGGTAAAATGCTTTAGGCTTGTGTAGTTAGATTTAGGTGCAAGTTAGAGAATCCCTGGTGGTCGAAATTTCCGGAGTCCTTCACTAAGCATCTTTCACAATGATATCGTAATTTCGGGATGGTAAACCCCAAGAATCATTATTAATCCTGTGATGGAGGCGTGATGCTGTGTTAATGTCGATAGTGGATTTAGTGTTGGCTCCGCTTTTGCGGCCCTCTAATAAACATGTTTGTTTTCTTGGGATTCAGCAAGCCATATTCAAGCATTGCTTGACCCCGAAGAAATACACTATCGAATGTTATGTATGATAATCACATCGTTGCACGATGAAGCGGACTTCATTTAGATAACACTGTCATCTGTGCTCTTATGTGAATGGCTGCATTATGTCAAACCATAGGTTGCCCTCTAAATGCCAGCATAGTCAACGTTTTTGGTTAGCTCATGAGGTGCACACAACTACTGCAGTTACAAAAAACATGTCAATCCAAGCCATGAAATGCAGCATGGACAATTACTTGCCTGCTTGGCATAGTACAATTGACTGCTTCTCATGCAGCAGATTCCCATAAGGAATCTGCTGAATCTTTAGAAATAACATGCATATGCTGGGTTAATATTTGTAGGACTGTGTACCTGCTAATAACCATTCAATTTTACAATGCCAGAATGGTCACCTAACTACTAATCAGTATTTTTTTTCTGGTGAAGCAATATTCTATTTGTCAAGAGAGACATTACACATTATCAGTTGTCAGATTCCACAATACTGACATGCCAGATGAGTACTGACAGGCTCACATATCACTTATATTGAACTTGCATTCTCTTTTATTAAATTAGTAGGAAGGGATTTGTTTGCACGTTCATTGTCCAATTAACTACATGGCAAATTACTAAGTGAACACAGTGAAACTTCATCATAATGAAGTTACATGTACATAGTAATCAGTGAAAAAAGAAAAGTGTTGATATCTATCTAAAATACAGCTGAGTGCCAAAAAGTTCAGGGTGTTTGAAAAATAAGCTGGGTGCCTGAATATATTGCAGATTTTGATGACATGTCAGCACATTGGTTTTTCTATTTTCCAAAATGGTGATTGTTTCACATGATAGCAAGTGAGGTGTTGGGCTAGTTGGTTTTTTTTTTCATGACTGAGAAAAATTGTGCTACAATGGCTGTGGAAAATCAAGTTAGGGAGGAGACAAAAAGAAGTGGACAGTACAAGCGCAAACTATCAACTGAAGTTTATTGAAAGAACTTGGGAGAATGAAGGCTTCCCGAAAAAGAATAGTCGATTTACGAAAAGGGTAGGGCTCGGTAATCATAAGACCGTGGAGCAAGATTACCGAGCCCCACCCTTTTCTATTCTGTCTTCTCCTTGTTTTTCCTTGTTATTTCACTTTGCACCACAAACCTTTTGTTATGCAATGCAGAAAAATTAAATGTACTCAAACCTCTCTTCAACGAAGTTGCATCTTACATGAAAATAAGTTTGATATGTCTGAAAATTCGTTATCAAGGTATATTCTTAACGCTATATTTATTGCAATAGTAATTTTCATTTACTTCATTTATCTGGGTTCATTGTATCAAGATTTAAGTGTATCTGGAATATTCAGCACTTGCACCAATGAATATCATATATCATAATCATGGAATATGCAGCAGGTATTGGTGCCACTTCAGGTATGGCTTTGTAGCTACACATCTAGGTTGTACTACCTGCTGTGGCAGCATAATAGGAAAGGTGTCACTGATAAGCTTGCGAATGCTGGTTAATAAGTTCAAGACCATTGTGGTTACATTTCAATGGGGGTGAAAAGCAAACAACCCTCTGCACTTAGGTTTAGGGGCTTGGTAAACAATCCCATGTCATCGCAATTATTGTGAAGGGTCACACTACAGTGTGCCTCGTAGGCGTGTCATAGTTGTGGTTCATAAGGCCCAGAAATAAATTTATTTGTTTTGTTCATCCTATGTACTGATGTGCTGTGGATAGTGCTCTTCTGGTTCTTACTAGTAAAGCTTGCGCAAACATTGTCTCCTTCTGATAAATGCAGTATAGTAGATCTATGTCCGCATCTAACTAGTAGGATAATTCTTCACATAAAGTGTTGCTTTTTTGTTAGTTTTTAAAAATTTCACATAGTGGCACTGGAGTGCCCTGAAACTAATGCAGAGACACGAGTCAATGATAGTGGGTGTAGTAAAGCATATTGAGGAGTTGGGAGCTCATAAGTGCTGATTTTAGTAATTTATTTTAAGAAAATCACTCACTGGAACTTAGCTTTTTTTTTTTTGACGCTTGTCTGTCACATTTCAAACTAGAATTAGTGAAGTGATGACTAGAGACCGGATTTTAGACAAATGTCTATTTTGTTCTTTGCGTTCCTATCATGCCACTTTAAGATATGAGCATGAATTATAGATTAAAGAGGGCTTTTATAGAGAACAGGAAGTGCCTTTGTACAGCTGCGG